GGGGGAATGGAGGGTGCCAAGCACACGACCCAAGACAGCTGCATCCTTCCCCTGGTGCTGGCAAGTTCTTGAGGCATCTTGGAGCTGCACAGCCCATCTCCCACCTCCTGGTAACACAATTCTCACCCCAGTCTCCACTGTCTTTCTGCTACCTGGCCAAGTCCCCTTCCCCTGCTGCCCTTCACCACCCTGTCCCCAGTCACTCCACTTTGCAGCTCCCAGACTGATGGGGTGCTTGTTGCCTGCGCTGTACTGTGGAGAAGGACCATGCTGCACCATTTTGCCTGACAGTGGTGGTTGCTGTTGTCCACCCAGGATGAAAGGTGGGAGGAGATGACCAGCCTAATTGTGTCATAGGTGCCCTGAAAGCCTCGGACCCGCTCTGCACACCTGGCCCCAGCAAAGCGGGACAGCCTGGCCCACACCGATCCCTCCAGGAGCCAAATCCATGTTCTGGCAGTGCCTGGGATGTCCCACCTCTTCTTCCTCGGAGGAGTAGTTTGGTAGGTGGCCAGTGGCCAGGATCAGCTCAGCTCCCACATCTGCCCATATTTATCAACTTTTGTTTTCAACTGAGCTGGAGTCAGCCCCAGCAACTTCTGCTCCCAGCACTCCTGCTGGGACTCCCTGGCATTGACATTTCCCTGCTACATGCTGGGAATGCTACCAAAATCCCCATAAGGCTCCGAGGGAAGCCTTGATTACGATTTCAGGTTGCTGGCAGGTCAGAGTGCAGTTTTGGACATGGACGAGGGTGCAGTGTCCACACTGGCTCTGCCTCTCTGTGCTCCAGGGGACTCCTGAGGACAGTATGTAGAGACAGAGCCCTTTCATTAGGGGGACCCTGCTTGGATTGCTTGGTCTTGGGATTGTGCTGAGCAGCACCACTGACTTGTTGCACAGACCTGCCCCGAGACAGTTGAGATCCCAGACAGTGCAACTACACATGCTGCAGTCCTGAGGCAGAAGAGCAGGTGCCTCTGGGAGGATGCTCCAGCAGAAGGAGGGATCTTCTGGATCCCTGTCCCACCCAAACTCCCAGCACGTGACCTGCTACTTCTGACCTCCCTCTGCACAGGAAACCCCAGTCTCTCATCCTTGCTTCTCACACGTTTGCCAGGGCTGTGGTATCAAGACACTAGGACTATTTTGGTTTGTCTGATGAAGCTGAGGAGGCCTGATGATGCTCTCTCCTGCTTGCAGAACAGACTGCTGCTCCGCAGGGTCCGCGCGCTCTATGACTGCGATGCTGACCGGGAAGATGAGCTGACTTTCCGCACAGGCGAGATCATTGTGGTGTCTGAAAAGGAGGACAGCAACTGGTGGGTGAGTGAACCTGTGCGTGCTGACTGGTGCTGGGATGCACGTGATCTCCTCTCTGTCCATCTCTTGCCTCTGTCCCATGACTGTCACACCCACTGCCATCTCCTGCTCTGCATCTGTGTCTCTATCTTCCATCTTTTCCTTGGCAACCAAACGCAACTGTTATGGGGCCAGTTCTTCATCCCCCTGAACACCCCTGTGCCATGCTCAGCACTCCTTTTCCTTCCTTTCTCCCCACAGAAAGGGTGGATTGAAGGACAGCCTCACAGGCAAGGTGTCTTCCCCGCTTCATTTGTTCATGTGCTCAATGAGTAGGAGCTGCTTGATTTCAAGAAGGAAGATCTCATCAGCTGCTTAGAATGCAACTCCCCAAGCTCCTGTCTGCACTGAAGGCTGAGAGCACCAGCTCACCCAGTGCTGCCTCCCTCACCTCTGTTGCACCAACATCCCTATCCCTCCTGCCCCCCTCCTGTGGGCTGCCAGCAGTGCCAGGCTGTCCCAGAGAATCCCGTAGCCCAGCAAAGGGAGAGAATACGACAACCTACATACGTGTGCCCCAGCCACATCCCCATGCAGGAAAAAGCCCTGGCCACCCTCTTGCCAAATGCCTGGCTCCTGCCTTGCCCTGACCACGCTGCCTGTCCAGTGGTACTCCCTGCTCTGCTAGCACCACTGGAAACGATGGCAGAGCGGAGCAGCGCTGTGCCCTGTGAGGCTCTGGAGCTGCAAGTGGAGATGTGCTCGCATGCAAACCCCAGGGAAAGGGGCTTCTGCTGAGGGCTGAGCATGCTGGGAGCTTGGAAATGCGAACGAGTGCTGTGGGGCCAGCACCACCTCGAGCCTGTGCAGTTCCTAATTCCTCCCACCCAGGTTTCACTGTGCTCCAGAAAATGTGCTTTGTGGCAGGTCAGGACATTGCTCTTTTGGTGCCTGCCCCCCCCCAGCAACGGTAGAGAGGCCCTTTGACACCCCCC